GTCAGTAACTTCTCTAGTAATATTTATTGTACATTTGTAATCAAAAATTCTGACGTAATTTAAGTATTATAAGTATTGAAAATTAACCTGTTTATATATCGTAGACCTATTGATTTAATTCTCATAGAAAAGTGTACTTACTAAGTAAGTATATGGGTTATTTATCTGTTTCGAGGTCGATATACACTAAACTACTGCGAAACTGTCCTAGATGCTAAGCAAGTAGTCACTATTTTGCGTGTCTAATGGGATGATAATGTGATCTTCTTAAGGAATTAACTATTTCACATTGAAAATACGTTATTTATGTTGATAATTATATTTCTTTTCTTCTCTTCTTGTCATGTAGCCTATTTACTTAACTGTTCGTCTAAAGCCAAACAAAGGTACTTATAGATCATGTGATTGCAGTTGTACACACACAAATGCTAATAACAACAACAACTTAACATCACCCGTTAAATACACGACTTGTCCCTATATAAGCAAGTTATATAGTCAAGTTATAACAGAAGGTAAAATTCTAAGTCATGAAAGAAAATCAAAAGACTGCCCCTTAGAATTTGCTGAAGGCCATTTAGTCGACTTCGCAAACAGCGCCAGCGGATACGACACTACTAATATAGAGACTGCCTTAAGAGCTGGGGATGACGAAACTAGGGAAAAAGCCACGTCAAAACATCCCAGCATTAGCATCAATTTAATTGATTCTGACAACATATATGTTTGTATGTGTACACAAGCGTATAACCATGACTCTTGCAACACAGAGCTTGAGGCTCCGCATGAGAGTGCCATTTGCCCAATGTGCCGTAATCTGATGAAAAAGCAGCCCGCTGAACACCGGTATAGGTTGTTTTCCAATAGTGTAGTATTATCAGACAATATAATAGTAAATCAAATGGACATGCAGCATCTTAATACCTACGTCGAGAACTCGCATATGGACCCGTACACACCAGAAAGCAATGAGTCTCACTCGCCATATCCCGAGCTGAGAAGCACAACCACAAGTGCTTCCAGTAATAGTTGCAAAAACGAACCTAGCATGGATGTCCTCAGTGAAGAGCTTGATAAGCAATACGCAAATGTAAATGCCAATGCAAATGATGACTTATTTCCATTACAATCAGTCCATCCACTTGCAAATCAGCAGTCCAGAAACTCTGTTACACCTGTACAATTAAAGTCACGTTTAGAAGACCTACAACGACTACACACCTCTGAAAGGAGTGAGGCTCCCGTTGGGAAGGGTGATGTTAATAATGTTGACACTATCTGCACCCCAAAGTCTCTTTCGAATAGTGCAAATCGCAATCCTAGCATTTTTTCTATGTGCTGTACAATTCACTAATATAAGTTTCTATATCTATTTTATTGTTATCGGTATTTTTAAGTTGTTTTTATTTGATTAATGCTTTATTTAATATCTTTACAACTGTTTTGTTTATCTCTCTCTTTGTTACTATAACTGTGTATATAAGCAATATTATCAAATTGATTCTTCGATATGATTCAAACCCTAATAACAATTACCAGTGAAGAAAAGAATATGTATTAGGCCGGCGTGATTCAATATTTATTTCTAAAGGCAACAAATTACAGACGAATCTTAAATCAAATTGCTGGATATGTTTAAGTTAGCTAAGAGTAAAATACATGCTTGTATATAAAAAAAAAAGGGAAATGAAGTTTAAGCTTAAACAAAAATTTAAAGATTTGTTACAACCCTTGAAAATGAATAAGTTTGAAAGATAATTTTTATAGTCGTTACACCAAAGATAAATGCAGCAGTTTCCATTTCTTTATTCTTTGTTATATTATTAAGAGATGTCTGTATACTTATCCTCCGAAATAACATCCCTGTAATATTAGTTTTTCGTCAAATTAACAAACCTATGTCGATAAGAATGAACAACTGAATCTGTGTAGCTTTATTAGTACAAGTCAGGACCAGCCAAATCTGATAGTTAACATAAATAATAAAAGATGTTATGCTATATTTAGGCTGCCTCCTTGAAAATACAAACTCAATTTGTACTTTTTCAAAATGTTTCTCATAATTAACAAATTATAAGATTTTGTCCAGTTTTAATATACCAATATACTTTAGGACAATTGAAAGATTCGATACCAAATGGTAGCTACTGTTAGAAACCGAAATAACTTCCAGTTAATGAAATAAATAAATATGAAAATGTGTTTACCAAATAGGTATATGTATTTTTGACATATATATTCCCTTAAGTTTTTATTTGATTATTCTTTAGTTAGTTTTAATTATAATTATCAAAAATAAAATAATTCATGTTATATGTTTAATTGCATTCTCTTTTTATTTTGAGCGATTCAATTCATTGCGCGATCTTTGTTTCAGCTTTGTTTGCATATCTTTGTAATAAGATTTTAATTGGACAGAAAATTGATTTTCTGTCGTTGTAGGTTCGACAAAGCCCACTTGCTTGGTCAAAACACTCGATTCACTCAAGACATTAATGAATCAAACACTCGTGGACGAAAGTCTCTGGCGAGAGCAATCGAATGTGGATGACGCTGGTATTCCGCCGAGTCCGACAAGCTCCCGTTATGTTGTAGTCAAGGCAATATCCTCAAGCATCAATGTGCCAGGTGAAGAGAATTGCGTTGACAATCTGGAGGCAGAGAATGGAGTGCTGCTTAAAGAAACCACCGTCTAGATAGTCAAAGGTCGCCAAATATCGCTTGGATAATACCAAAGAGAAATCGTATATTGCATCTCCAAATATTACTTATATATATATCGTTGTAATAATGTTGTTGTGTGTTAAATGAATATTAAATACGGTAACATCAAATTTATGTATAGAACTGCGCCCAACTTAATTTAAATAACATAAAAACATTTAATTTGTTACATTTTATTTTTAAAGGAAAAGATGAGAAGATTGGTGCTGAAGCTCAGGCTCTTCGAAATGTACGTAACGTCTCGGAATAAGTATTCAAACACTATTCGATGAGTTTTTTTGCCTTGAAATATCTGCGAAGGTATAGGACTTGCCATGTTGCCAAGCCGAGTAAACAACACATACTGAATATGCTGAAGAACAAAACTCTGCTATTAGTTTTTTCTGAAACAATAAACAAAACATGAATAGAATCCATATACAATAGTCGTAATTTGGCGTTTCTTTAAGGCCTACCATTTGTGTCCCGCATTTCCTCTTCTCGTTTACGCATCAGAGCAAAATCACGTACAATCGAATCAGAAAGATCTTCTAGGCGCTTTAGGTCTACCTCGAGTGGCTTCAGTTTGGATGCTTCGCCAATCTTTTAATTAAAAATTGATTTCACTTAAGAATCTTTTCCTTAACTTCCTATAGCTGAATACTTACGCCTTCATAGCTTTTAGTTTCAACACCTTTTTTAGTAACTAGAGAGACTTCCTGGCTTATTCCACGTTGATCTGTTATAATAATTCAGGTTACTTTTGAACTTTGCGCAAGAGAAAAAACACATTTATTTACTTACGTGGTGGCACTTTTGATATGAAGCAAATTTCGTACGCGTCATACACTTCCGACATGAAGCTGAATTTTCCTTTGGTAATGTGTTCTTTTTGTGACAATATGTGACCCTTGGTGTCACGTGCCTATTGAAATTATAATTTATATAATTGTATTTCACCAAGAAACAAATGTATGCAAACTTACAATATAGTCTATAACTTGGCCGGGAACATCTGAGACTTCGTATTCTCCCATTACCAATTGGTTCGCTTGTATATCTTCCTTAAGACATTTCTGTGTGTTTGGTGTCAAGTGAAACATGACACTATGAAGGGGCCAAATACATCCTAGGATTGTAAGAATAACAAAAGCTGATTTAAGCATTTTCTCGATTTTTAATATACAGAACGGCAGAATTTGACAATTGCTGCAAAGATGAGTTGGCCAAGGGATGGCAAAAATATTGATAGGCTATATCGATGTTATGTTATCGATATTTTTAGCAAGCGAATAACGGCAAACAAAATTAAATTAAATTATGCAATTAATTTATACATCGATATCGAAAAGCTGCTTTATAAATTAATATAAATCAATTTTAGCTACATTATGCAACGCTTCAGTAAACGTGTAAAAATCAAATAACAAATATTTCAAGTTTATTATAAAACTACCATTAAGAATAATCAGATAAGCAATGGTAAGTAAATGTTCAGAATAAAATATATGGCTTTTTTATTGGGATAAGTCTCACTGTAATTAGCTTTATTTTAGTTTAAAAATTAATCTCAAAAGACCACGAACATCACCTCCCTTTTATCGGTACTTTCCAGTATTCATACATATTTACAGATCAAGTTCATTCAACTTTTAAGACGAGGAGCAGCACTGTTAAATCACCGGGTAGTAAACGTTCATCAATACACTATAACTAATATGACATATCATTAATTCATTATTGTCAATAAGTTTGGGATATTTATTAAAACTTTATATTGATTTACATACTCAAAATGTATGTATTTTCTTATTTTTATTGATGTATTTACATTTATAGACAAGGAATGACAACTCTAATGCAGATGCAACGGCGGTAATAAAAATATCGGCTTCGGACGCGTCAATGTCTACCGATGGCTACTTATGTGTATGTGTGCAACGTTTGTGTGTGATTTACATGTACATGTGTAAATGAGTGTAGTTCTATGTGTCGAAAATACATACCATAAATTATTAAAGCGTTTTAAACAGCAAATTTTACCTCCGTTGTGTTTATTTATTATTTTTTGGTAAGATATAATCCAATTAGAAACGTCAGACCCAATTAAAAATTATCAATACTTGCAGCTAACAAAGAAAGCTGAATTCGGCAGCAAATGTCAGGCGTGGATCAGGTAATGGCATTTTTGTATATATACATACATACATTTATGTGTGCACATACAAATTTATGTATGTATGTGTGTTCATTATAATTTTAAAGGATTAAAAAAATTATGAAGTTTTGTACACAAATGTTTGTATTTTAATTATATATCCATATACATACTTATGCATGTACATAGCTACATAAACTCATTTTCGATGTGTGCGTAGAAGAAAATTAATAAGTATTCTCTTTCTTTCAGAAAATATCCGGAACTGCAGGTACATGTATAAGAAAACCCGAGTTTCCCAAAAGTGTTTTATAAGTCAATACATAAATTCACAAAGGAAAATATACGAAAATGTTGGATATAGTCAAATTGGATTTTCTTTACCTATCCTATTAGTTATAAGTATATACATATATGTATATGTATATTATAGTCAAAATGCAAAATCATCCACAAACCGGCCAAATTTACAATTTTTCATATTTGATTTGTTTTTCTTTTGAATGACAAAGCAAAATCCGTTGAGGAGCGTAATATACCATGGAGCCAACAAGTTGATGAAGCCTCCTATGAAAATCTATCTTCTCCAGCAAACGATGACAATTCTGGTAGTGTTCATTTAATTATATATTATCTAAATATCTATGATACTACTTCTTATTATATACCAAATGAAACAGGCAATCAAGGCTCAATGCAATTTCAATTTCCACCATTTAATGTAAAAGAGAATAACAGTTTACCATTGACTAACGCGGGTAAAGGACGTAAATCATCTCACAATGGTGAGTAAATATATCAATAATTATATAAAATACGCGTCGATAAAGCAAGGAAACCAAAGCCATAGATTATTTATGTTACTTAATTTCGCAAAACTGTAGTCCTTAAAGGTTTCGGATTTCTTCATTTTTGTTTTTGTTTCAGTTTTAAAGTTAATATAGCTTAAAGAAAAGTTAGTAATATAAAAGGATTCTAAATTGATTAAAACAACAACCTACCTTTCATTATACCCCATAGAATACCGCAAATGTGTATACAAGGAGAAGGATTGTTTATATTTTTTAAAACTTAAACTCTATTTTGAGTGGGGTAATTGGTATTGCTTCGATATCCGATCTAATTTGGCAATAACCAATAGAAAAACCAATAAGCTTTTTAGGCTCATTGGCTAATAAGACTTCCCAATTAGTCTTACAGGTTTACTTTTGTATGTACTTACAATATACACAAAAGCAGATATCTCTTAGAAACACAACTTCTAAAAGCACTTAAAACATCAAAGACAATGACCATCAAAACTAATGATGATTGAGATTTTCATAATGCATTTGATTACCAATCAAGGGTCTGCCACGCTTACGCATAGGTATACTTTCAGTTACAATACGGCAATACATTTGTCCTAATCAACAAAGTGTACAATAAAAAAATTTAATTGATGATGGTAACTCATTGTAATTAATTAGAAGTAGTTCTATGCATGTGTAGTTTTTAAAAGGTTGTTAATGTACCTGTTACCGCGATCGGAATGACGAATGTAAGAATAAGAAATACTTTACGCAGTCAGCTAAGCAACAATTTCGTTCGGTATATAGTTTTTGAAATAAAAAGATTTGATATACAAGGCACAAATAATATTTAAAGCATGAAT